ACAGGCCCAATTTTTGCCAAACTATGTTTTCGACTATTGTAAAAAATGAACATCGCAAAATTACAATATTGATCCAGAGATTTTCATACTTCATGAATCTGTTCTAAAAAAATAGATCTTTAAAAAGGAATTACAATTAAAAACGAGTAGTTTCGCATAGATATTTCTTAAAGTTAATGAAATTTATAAACAAAATAACAAAAACGACTCCAAATATTTTCTTAAATTTGTTCGCTTGGATGGATCAAAAAACTCAATAATGGCGCGGAGACCTGTTCGCCCGGCAGGAATGAATCGAGTGCCGCACCCGAGATCCACTTTAGCTTCCTTCCACTTCCTGCTCGGAGTTCGACGTCGCGCGACCCACTGGCCCAGCTTCTCCGAGCGAGTTCAAGAGTCGTCCGCAGGTAGCGCTACCGCCAGGTCCTCAGGTGGACGCAGTGTGCGCGTCGTTCGCTGGTGGCGCCACCGTCTAATCACTCCCTGTTGTCGCGGAACGCGGGCCATCCACAAACCGAAGTTTCCGACGCCGTACTTGCCGTATGTAGCCCAAGCAGGTCAACGTTATGCGGATCGCTTGCTTGTCGTTGGTGATGCATTTGAATTTGAGATCACTAAGCAGTGTGCGAGGATGTGAAATGTAATGACACGGTGCTGATATACTGGCTCGCTGGTTGGCGGGTTGAAAGCGCATGGCATACGAACAGCGAAGCAGGTTGTAGATGATACCTGTAATATGACAACCCTATTATTATTTGCACATTGGTAGTCATCTGACGCCACGCAGACAGGATATGGGATGGGGTCGCTGGTGTTAGCATTGGTGACACCAATTTGTGGTTTAGGGTTTAGTTTTTCCCATTACGAGAAAATTACGAGAGAATTCTATCATTACGAGAAAAGATCCGTAGAAACTGCCAAATGCATTCTCACATATCTTATCTTCATTTGTGAGCACTTGAAAAATTGGAGTCCGTTAAGTGTATATTTTTATTGAACCCAGTCTTCAGGATTGTATCAATGTTCCCTCCAATTGTACTCAAATATCAATTTTTCACACCTTTATTCTCCTTAATTTAATCTCCTAATCACCTTAATTAATATTTCAATTCGTAATAATTTGATGTAATTCAGATGTATTCAAGTCAATGATTGCGTTTTACTGTTAATAAAATTAAAATAAAATCTCCTTTGATGACCTGATTTTCATTATTGAATTTTCTATCAACATTTTTGAAGCAACTTTTTTCTGTAATTCAGCGACAGAAAGCAAATCCAAGGAGAATGCAAGTGAACAGAATGTTAAAACACAAATTAATCGTTTATTTCAGGAACAACATACGCCCAGGAAGAGTAACTTTTCAGTTTCGACAACAAATCTCCGTTGGCAGCTATATATCACAAACAGTGAGTCATGATTTTAGATGGTTTTTCCAAAAGCCTGTCAAAAAGTCAGGGTTTTTTGAAAGAAGAACTCGTATTATAGTCCTAATATCGAAAATGTGGAACAATTTAGTTCCTATATGTACCAAATTGCTTCCTAAAACGTTAAGACCATTTTCTCCACATTATATACTTCCTGATCGATGTGGACTAATTCGATACCCTGCGAATTTGAAAAGGATATTTTGAAATGGGGGGGGGGTACTTCACATGGAGCATTAATAATTTCCAAAATTTTAATAAAATAGGTCCACAATTTTGGATTTTTTCACTTGGATTGCTTTAAAAAAAATGCAGGTACTATATATTTGATTTTTGCTGGTGTCTGAATTTTTGAAAATAATAGTTACAAATAATGCAAAAAATAATGTGCTGTTGTAGTGTGTCGCACAAGACGTTTGGAAAATAATAGCTTGTACTTTTGAATATTATATCTTATGGAGCATTAACAATATTTTCCACATTTTTAAACAAAACGGGCCCACATTTTTGGATTTTTCACCCCGGATCGCGCAAAGATCCCTTTAAAAATTATGCAGGTACTATATATTTGATTTTTGCTGGTGCCTGAATTTTTGAAAATTGTAATAGTGACAAATAATGCAATAAATAATGTGCTATTGTAGAGTGTGACATATAAAGTTTGGGAAATAATAGCTTGTACTTTTGTATATTATATCTTTCTCTTTTCCCAATCGAACTTACTTGCAACGATTAGTTGCGCTAGTGCTACTTAATTATAAATTGTTATTATGCATGCGGAAACAAATTTTGGTATTTTTTTATAAACCAATGAATTATTTTTCACTTACCAATTGATAGCTTTGAAATTTCCTTTGTGCTGTTTTTGTGGCTGTAGTAATGGTTCATAAGTAGGGCGGTAAAAGTAAGTAAAAATTAAGCGTCTTTTCGCGGAAACCGCGTTTCGATCGGACAAACCGTTCTCGAGATATAACTTTTCGCGCGCTTTTCCCCTCCGCTTTTTCGGTCCCCGCTTCGGTTTTCGTTCTTCTGCCCGAGAAATCTCGAAAACGAACGCCGCTAGCGACTCGGAGCTCAAAACATCTTCTGCCGTCCAGTTTTTCGCTGTTTTGGACGGGTAGACATTTTTATAAAAATTGCGAAAAAAATACCAAAGAGACCTCTCGAGAAGAAGCGTCTAGCGCCGAAAACCGCGTCAAAATGCGATTTTGCCTTCTGGAGTTATTCGCGTTCTTATATCACGAAACTCTTTGCAGCTATAAATGGCAACCAATATCTGGAACTTCACAAATGTCTAAAAACTTATATATTCCTCCCTTTCTGCTTTGCTCCAAGGGTTACCCACACTCTTTAAGTGACAACTGCATAGTTCCATTAAATACTTTTTTAAAGACTAAAACGTAGCAAATCATGTACAAACTATTTATCAGCATGTTTAGGAGAAGACAGAATAAAATGAAGCAAATTATAAAAAAATATTTTTTTTCGAATTTTTTTGTGTCCTCTCCTGAAAGTATTAAAGAAAACGGCAACATATTGTTGTATATGAAATAATTATTGCTGAAAAATTAACGGAATCCTTTCGAGTTGTAGTTTTTTAAAGCGGTGCGCGGCGTGGTCCAGGACTAATGTTACGTTAAGTACAAATCAGTTCTATCACTACTAATCTTCACGAGAACTCGTGTAGAATTTGTTATCTATGAAGAAATAACTTACCTTCTTTTTGCGTCTGTTACCCTAAATGACGGAAGGAGAAAATTCGGTCGAACAGTATCATAAAAACTTAGTAATAATTAAAAAGGAAGGTGGGCATATTAACAGTCGCTTCGGGTAAAATCATGCTGTTAAAACGCTTCTAAAAACACACAAAAATCAAATCACCGAAATGGTTTCTTAGAGAGTGTTTGATTTTAATGACAAACTAATGATAAATTGGCAGAAAATCAATTTCGTTTTAATTGCCCAAGCCCCAGAGTGAGAAGAATTAACGATTTTTGCCAATGATGTCTTTCATAGTTTTTAACTTTGGAAAGTATATCAAATTTGGAGCAAAATGAAACTGTCTAATGACCTGAATAAGGTACTAGACGTTGAGTCTTATTCAGTGGCAGTTCGTGCTTAGATTGCACGTTTGCACAACGACCAGATAATCCTAAAATACTCGTATGTTAATAAAATATAAAATAAATTAACATGTGTAAATAATCCATATTAGGACTGTATTTTCGATTTAATATCGTTAAATAATCTAGATATTGCTGCAATAGCAATATATGAAGTTATTTGGAAATCAAAGAGCGCTCGTCAAAATATCTCTTTTGCATGAAGTTGTAAGCCATGCTCTGATGTGTGTCGTCAGGCTCTTATGGACGTTTAACATTGTGAAGCACCAGCCATTCGACTGATCGCGCGACACAATTAGTTAGCATTGAAAGCACTCGATCATTTCTGTGCGTTTTAGAACCGCAACGGTACATGAAACCCGCCCATGCATCACAAAGCGGGCGTCACCAGCCTTGTGGGATTCGAAGGGGGAATAGTAATTTTCTGCCTTTACAACTGTAAATTACGCATGTTGTTGATGATATGATATGGCAGTCGACTTGTGACTGTATTGGATTCACAGTTTAAGATGGTTGGTGAATATATTGTGTATAATACAGGGTTGATTGACTAAAAATGTATTTAAAAAATGCAGATTTTTAGAGGCAAGGTCGACTGACTCGGAAGAATTCTTTGTAGAAACTCTGAGAGTGATCTCGTGCAGTTCTGGCCGTTTGTATCCTCGAAGTGATTTTGCGTCAAAGCGCATACAAGTGTGTGTATGTATTCGAATCACTACTATTTGTGATATTATTTTATTGTTGTTATTGTGGCTGTCGTCATCGCTTCTGCCGCTACTGCTGCTTGTGAACTGGAACTGAACATTCTTATTCCTCCACGAAACATGAATAACCTCCGATTTTGTGCGTTATTTTTTTGTGCGATTTTTATTCTTAATTTAGTGAAAATTTGGATATTTCATTATTTATTTCCTTTGTATTAGACAATGAAAGCAGAGTAAAATTTAATAATATTTCTTTTGGCTCCTGCCCTATTGAACGAACACAGGAAATTGGAGAACTGGAAGGCGTATTCCAAATCCTCAGTGTTATTCCAAATGGGAAATCTAAAAAGAGCATTTTATTGAAATTCAAGTGTGTGTCTTACAGTAAATGCAAGTGGTAATATGGGTGGATCACAAAGGAGATCTGTTTGGCTTTTGCGGTATTTTATTTGTGATAGGGTAAAATAGAAATAATCTTCCACGATAAAATAAGTATTTTTCACTACATTCAGATATTACACTACATCAAAAATGTTTCGAGGAGATTTTTCCCTATATTCACTGTCTTACACTCTTAAGTTAAATACATTGCCCATTAAGACACTTGTATATTTGTGGAGTACTGAAGATAAGGTAAAAATTCCTCGAAACATGTTTGCTGTAATGTAACATCTAAATATAGTTTAAAATACATTTTATTGTGAAAGATTATTGGTTTTATTCATCCATACAGATTTTCATATTATTTCTGCGGTAATCGCAAAGTTTATTTGGAAGTGACGGTACATGGATAAAACTGGTTTTGAATGGCATAAGGAATCTTCTTTTGGTTACGTTTAAATTATTCAAACCTCATAATTGGGAAATCGAAGAAACATGATGCTTCTGGCATCCACATATAACAGTTTGCAGTTAGCATTAGTTGGTACAACCAGTGTAACAAAACATTAGATAATGCATTTGTTTGAAATACAATTCAGTGTTTCAATGCAGCTGCAACCCCCATCTTTGGGGTACCAGCAGCCACAGGTATCATTCACTCAGAAGCAAGCGTATGACCACAAAAATTTAAGTGTGGGCTTTCGATTCAGCAGCTGATTTTGAGACACAATCGAAGTACTCTACTTATCTCAGCTTATTATTGATTGTGACAATTTTTCTGGTTAAGGGCGTGACTAGTTCTGCTGTATCTTTCTTTCTTTGAAGTAGAATCCGACGTAAAACTACTAAGTGAAGATGTAAAAAATCTTTATTATTTCCTTTTAGCAAAACTTTCTTAATCTCCTTCTGATCGAAAGTTGGGTAAACTTAAAATACACCAGTGACCACATCTGTTTATTTGAAGAACGCTGATCCGGGCCGGTCTTGAGGCGGCAGCTTACATTCTCTGCATTTGTAGCAAGCAGTGCAAGTGCCGCGGCACGGGTATTCCTCATCGTCCAAGCAGTCCCAGCAATTCCTGCAGATTCTGCGACAGGACCTGCGGAGCACAAGTGTTATTAGATCAGGGTCCGTCGGCGCTTTCTTCCTGGAGTACGCATCGGTGGCGACGCGTTCCAACAGGCGGCTGTTTGCTTTATTTTTTTTTATTGTTTAAATTTTTTATTGATTTTTTAATTTTTTAATTTTAATTTTAATTTTAATTTTATTTTTTTCTTCTGGGCGAGACAACATTAAGATAATTAGTCACATAAGTGTGGTGCATGCTATATGCTGCGAGGTATTGGACGACAACCTACACGTTGGCTTGCAGGGAGGTTCCTTTATTCAGGTATCTCCTACAATGGGGCACCGCGCCAACAGGAACAAGCTCTTAGCACCCGGCTGGTCTCGTAACATGTGCGGTAGTGTGTGCATGTAGGCGTAAATGTCTAAGGGATGGTGAAGGATGATGATGATGGAAATATCGTGTACGAGCCGTGGCCCGTTTTGTATAGTACTGATCTGGCATTCGAATGATGTTGTATGAAGAAACAAAAACAATCGTTGTCCTCAGCCATGTCAGCCTGGCTGACGAATCTCGAAGGAGTGGGGGGCGCGATGAGGAATGTTGGTAGCAACTGCTCCTGAGCTAGAAGAAATGCATGGGCCAGCGAAGCAGGTCTGTCTGGGCCCTCATTTTCTTTCATTCCTATCATTTGAAAAATGTCTTTATCTCTAATTGATTTGCAGATAAGTTGCGTTTATTATATTTTTTCCAGTTTTCGCGTATTACCCATTTTTGTGTTTCGCCACGTAAGTATATTTGCTTATAATCAATTTGGTATCGACGACGCGAATTCCATTAGGGTTCTACATTTTCCCCCGATCATACGTTAAATATTCCCATTTTTGGAGCCAACTGGCATCAATTCAAAACTTTCTGTTCACAGCCACTTTTTCCTGTTCACAGCCACTGTTCACAGCCCCCTTCCTTCCCGTTTGAACTTCGCTTCCTAATTTCCTTTGATTCATTGAGCAAATGCTGAGAAGGACCCTAGTTTTGCTTGTGAGTACAAATGCAACTCTCTACCTGTGTATGTTTTCTTGAACTCCGCTAGGTGTTAGTGGGAATTTTAGTTATTTTGCCAACAGTACCATAAAATAATCGTTCTCCATATTCTCGCGATAGTGAATCAATTTCTTCACTTGCCGCCCGATTACGGGTAAAACACTAAGTCTTGGTCTCATTTACCGTTGCAAATAATTGCTGTTATACTGCAGCACATATTTCTTGTTATTAAATTTTGCCAAAAACGTTCGTTGTTATATTCATTCATAATTCGGGTTAGTTACGTAAAGGAACTGTGAATGAGATTCCAGAACTCATTAAAACATGCAGAGATTGTACTTTGCACCCGTATATTGTACATAGTGTTTTATCAAGTTCATCTCGTTACTAACGACATATTTGAAGTTAGTTCAATTAAGACCAATGTTTTATCTGTCGTTCAAGCTGTATGAGTGAATCGTAAAATAACCGTCCTTTTATACTTAATGCTGCCGAGTGTCTGTAGTTATTATTTTATGGAAACGAGCACCGATCTTTTGTGTAAGAGCTGTATACACTGAGTCAAAGTTCCACGAACTTAGTCATTGCACAAACGCAGAGTTTGTGATTAAGTACTTGTAAAACGTTAGCATTATATGTGTTCATAACAATTCCTATAAAATTTCAATGATAAATTTAGAATTTTTTAACCCACCATGACCGAAAAAGGAATTTCTTTTTTCAAGCTTCGTAACAATGTGGATACATATTAGGATGCGTTCGTGAAACATCGAGAAGAATGTGCGCTTACAGGTAACATGCACAAAATTAACCGTCGATGACAAATATTCGAGACCCATCCTAAGGTCGTGCTATGGTCTTGAGAACGTTTTTTAAATATGTATTTTTTAATGATGTTTCATTTCTCGTATATGACAGCTGCTCGAAACTCACAAATTAATCTTATACTTTTGTACACTTTTTAAAATGTTTTTGTATAGATATTCTTTGCAACAGGTTTTCCTTGTATACACAAAGCGTACGGAGCTATTTCTCGTAAATCATGTTCATAATTGTCCCTCGGGCAGCAATTCTTAAATCAAATTTATCTCCCAATGGAAGGACTCATGGAATTTCAGTCTATACAAAAGGAGATGACACATTCACAATAATACCTTTTAGTAATCTTCAGATTACTAACTTATTCGATGTCACAATTGAATACTTAAAGTAAATTAAACAGCATATATAGTATACAAGGAAAAGGTTTTTATTACAAAACAGGGAGTCGGCTGGACACTACTGGAATTGCTCCGGACCGATGGAAATATTCTGGTTGCGCCACTGGTATAAGCGTTTCTATTTGTCTGGCCACATGGAACACCAGAGGAGAATCCAAAGCATATTTCAAGGGGGAGACCATTTCTATTCGGAACATTTTGAAATGATATTTTTTCATTGTTAGCGTGAATTTAAAAAAAAAGTAGGAGTATGGAAAAGCTGCAATAAATATACGATAACTATTTTGAATAAATTGTGTAAAAAAAAAAGTTTGCTTTCGAGAAGCATGGCCCCTGTGGTCTCCCGACTTCAGTTCGTTTATCAATGCACATGTAAGTATTACTCTGGTTATTACTAGCGAGCGAAAATTTCTAGTTTTACAAATGATGGTAACGTCGCTTTTATGGTAGTTCTATTCGTCATTCAACTATGTGTAGACTGACTTAGGTGGCTGAGGGCATCAATAAATGTCACTGCAGTGTCTCTGACCGGCAGGTCCCAGGATAAGTGTCCCGACGGGGCAAGAAGTTTCGAAACATCTTGCTAAGTTGCACCGTTGCTAAGTCGCATTCAGCCGATTTCTGGAGGAAAGTCCTAGCGGCCGGCTGCTTTGATCGGGAGTTTTGTGGTTTCTCAATTCAACACCTATCGAATGACGGAGCAGTACCCTAAGAAACTGGTCACGGACCGCGCGCAATCTTCCCTTCCTCTTTTTTGACCTATCCTCGCCCTTATTTACACACACACACACACACACACACACACACACACACACACACACACACACGTGGATGCACTATACTACACAGGCCGTGACGCCGGTCTGGAGCTTAGACTTTTTCCGGCCCGGGCGGATGGTGGAAGATAACTGGATGGGGAAAACACTCCGCTAGCCGACGGGAAGGTTTTACCATCCTGCGCCGTATCTCACCATTCAGCGGGGGAAAATCACCTCCCCCTCCCGAGTTAACGTGCACAACATTTATGGGACCAATGACCTTAACAACTGTCGCTGCCGGAATCACTAGAGCTTAAATTACCGGTGGTGCTTAAATTATTGATAGTTGCCGAGATATTTTAAAATGTATTTTAAGTTTCATATTTATATGCATTTAAAGACTACACCTCTAACAAGTTCTATCGTCACGTCTTACTTACACACATTTATTTGCAGTACACTTTCACACGTTTTGTTAAACTCTCCTTTTGCTTGTAATGGTAAGAGTAGAGGTAAGGGCGAGTTGCTATTTCGTTAGGAATGCAGGAAAATCATACTTGCAATTCGTGAACCGATGAAAATAAGTTTTCTATAACTCAGAAACGAAAATGACTTTTTCAAATATTGCTAATCTTGCGATTTTTAAAATTTATTTTATTATTTTATATTATTACTACTATGCGTTCTAAAGGGCCTGCAGGGGAGGTTCTAGAGATTTGAAAAAAAAACGAGACAGGAATATCCTCTTTGCCAACCGTCACATGCAGTTCTAATCTTCGCCGATGGAAATAAAGCCTCCGGGCCGCCCGCAGCCGCGTACCGAACCTTGTTTTCGAATTCCGCGCGCAGTTCGCTTCCTGGGCTCGCGTGGTGGCGCGCGCTCTCTTCGCCACAGCCAGCTCGAGCAGCAGGAGCAGCGCCAGCAGCCCCGCCAGCACCGCGCGCGCCGCCGCCCCGCCATCGCGTCTCCCGCCGCCGCCGCCGCCCCACCGCCACGCGTTTTACGCCACGCCTCGGCCCTGGCCTCCGCGCAGCCCGCCCGCCCCGCCCCGCCCCGCCCCTCTCCTCACAATCCTCCGCCCATCCGCCGCGCCCGTACCCGCCCCTCTCCACCCCGCCCCCGCTTCACCCATCACCGCCCGGCCCCGCGCTCCCAACCCTTCTCCTCCCAACCCCTTCCTCCCAATCCCCTCTTCCTCCCAACCCCACTCCTCCCAAACCCCTCTCCTCCCCTGCCCCTCCTCCCCGCCCCCTTCTTCTCCCCGCCCCTCTCCCTCCCCTCCCCTTCCTTCTCTCCCCCGTCCTCTCTCGTCCCCGCCCCTCTCTAGTCCCGCCCCCTCTGCCTCCACCGCCCCTCTCGCTCCCCGCCCCTCTCGTCCCCGCCCCTCTCGTCCCCGCCCCGTCTCGTCCCCGCCCCGGCTCGTCCCCGCCCCGTCTCGTCCCCGCCCCCGGTCTCGTCCCCGCCCCGTCTCGTCCCCGCCCCGTCCGTCCCCGCCCCGTCTCGTCCCGCCCGCTCTCGACCCCGTCCGTCTCGTCCCCGCCCCGTCTCGTCCCCGCCCTCGTCCCGCCCCGTCTCGTCCCCGCCCCGCTCGTCGCGCCCGTCTCTCCGCCCCCGTCTCGTCCCCGCCCCGTTCCCGCCCTCGTCCCCGCCCCCGTCGTCCCCGCCCCGCTCTCGCCCCGCTTTCCCCGCCCCTCGTCCCTCCGTCCCCGCCCCGTCTCGTCCCGCCCCGTCTCGTCCCCCGCCCCGTCTCGTCCCCGCCCCCCCCCGTCTCTCCCCGCCCACCGTCTCGTCCCCGCCCCGTCCGTTCCCCGCCCCCCTCTCGTCACCGCCCCCGCTGTCCCGCCCCTCTTCTCCCCGCGCCGCCTCCCTGTCCCCGCCCCCTCCTGCCCCGCCCCCCCTTGTCCCCGCCCCTCTTCCCGCCCCTCTTGTCCCGCCCCCTCTTGTCCCCGCCCCCTCTCGTCCAAACCCCTCTCGTCCCCGCCCCCTCCACTCTTCTCTCTTCTCCTTCCGCCACTCTCCTCTCCTCCGTGCCCCGTCCGCGCCGCTTTGCAGTTGTTTCCCAAGGGGAGGGGAGCACTGATTTACCCCCGGGTCGTTTTTTTTCATTTTCTTTGTTTGGGCAAGGAGTTACTGCTTCATCGTTGAAGACTCATTTATTTATTTTATTATATTGCGTTTCCAGGCGCTTAAGTCTGCTAAGGTCACTACTCGTGTAATAGTGCATGTTTTCCTCGGGAGGGGGTGATCTCTTGCTAGATGATGAATCTCCCACCAGCGATACGCCGCCCCCGTCGGGGCAAGCTCTAAGCTCCCAACTGCTCTACCGGCATTTGTGGTAGTGTGTGTGTGTGTGTGTGTGTAAACGCCGAGGATAAAACCAGGAAGAGGAAGGAAAGATCGCGCGCTGTCTGTTGCCCGTTTGTTAAGGTATTGCTTCGGCATTCGCCTAGCGCTGATCGGAGAAACCACGGAATACTACCGATCACAGCAGCCGGCTGCTTCCATTCTCCTCCACAGCAGGTGAATTTGACCTGTAGAAAATCCTGCCACCGTCGTGACTGGAACCCTAGGACCTACCGGTCTAATGTACTGCATTAAGGACTTTCATTTCTAGAAGCTTTCGGAGCCCTTAGGGATACTTTCGTCTTTAGTAGCTTATAGGACTTTATAAATCATTCGAAATTTGCGATCTGTGTAATCGCTTCATGGGAACTCCGGCGTTCTATTAAAAAGAAGGCCTGCCCATATT